ATTTTCTTTCTTCTTGTTCTTCTCTCTTAGCTTCTTCTCTCTTCTTCTCCTCCTCACCACCACATCTTGCTTCTTCTTCTCCTCCTCACGGCCACCGTCACCGTCACCGTCCACCACTCATCCTTGCTACCACCATCACCTTCTTTTTAATTCTACTTCAACTCCTCCTTACTACCACCGTCACCGTCCACCACCGTCGGCACTCTACCAACGCCGCCTCCACCACAACCTTCCTTCTTCATTGTGTGTGTTTTTTTTTAAATTAGGTATTATTTTAATATTTTGAATTGTTATAAATATTTTAAAATTGTTTTGAGTTATCTGTTCATAGTTGGTGGTAATTTTTGTATTTTTATGCAATAATTATGTATAATGTAAGTGTAAAACAAATTTACACGATTGGCTATTTTATTGGCTTTACTAGATTTAAATTAAAATAGTGTTGTTAGTGTTAATTCTTTTATGGACCATGTGAGTACATAATTAGTGGCCAGCATGGATTGTTTATTTGAGTCTACGGTGAAGCATTCAAAGAACAAACTGAGTGGCTGTGGCTTATTCGAACAGTGGAAGGCTAAGGAAGAGGCTACATTTGAGGATCAAACAAAAGACTCATTAAGCACTATAAAAGCATACTGCTCGAATGAAGACATTGCCAATTCAATTCTTACACATTGCGAGAGCTATCCTGATTTTACAAAGCTGTTTTATGATTTAATGTGATTTATGATTTAATTCTTAAAAGTATTTAAACTGTACTACATGATCAGTACGTGGTACTGCTGAAGCAACTTGTAAAGATTGTTCGGGTATTCGTGTGTCAGTCCTGGATATGTGTTAGAAAGAGTGGTAGTGGTAAAGGTTGGAGGTCGTCTTCATTTACCTCTTGTAATACTCCTTTTGGTGAACATCTATAGTGGATTGGGCAGACGTGGGTTGCCCCGCAGACGTAGGAGAAGGAGCTCCGAACTGCGTAACAATTTCTTTGTGTTTTTAATTTACTTTATGCTTTCTGCAGTTATTATTTATACTTGCGTAAACGAGTTTAATTAATTAACTAAATTGGTGCATAACTTAATTAACAAGTAAAAACACATAGCTTTTATGTTTCAAGGGTCACGGTGCAATTTCAATTGGTATCAGAGCCTGTAGACTTAATCTATTAGTCTATCGATCTGGCCAATCCGTGCATCTTGAATTTATCTCTTCAGCGACTCTTTTTATTTTTAAGTTTATTGCTTATTTGTTTGATCTCACGGGGGTATTGAGTTTTGCAGAATGGATCGAACTAAAGCCATTCCCCAGTAGACTGGCGACAATTACGCATATTGGAAGGCGCGCACCCGTACGCATCTAAAGGCTCAAGGGGAAGCTGTATGGTGGTCTGTGGTGTCAGGATGGACACATCCCACTAAACCCAGTTCTAGTGCTGATGGAACAGAAGTAACTAAACCAGAGACTGAGTGTACTCAAACAGAAATAACTAATGCTGGAAACAATGAAAAAGCCTTAGACACAATTTATTCTCTTATGCATGAAAGCCAGTTTTCAATTATTGCAGGTATTCCTTCGGCTAAAGGTGTTTGGGAGGCACTTGAGTCTATATACGAAGGAACTACATCGGTAAAACAGTCAAAGCTGCAACTGGTCCAGTCAGAATTTGAAGAACTGCGCATGAACGAGGATGAGACAGTCATCGACTTTCATACACGCGTACAGGAACTGGCGAATCGCGCAATGGTTCTTGGTGAACCATTCTTGCAGGAAAAACTTGTTAAGAAGATACTGAGATCTTTACCGCCCAGGTTTCGAATGAAAGTCACAGCCATCCAAGAGCATGATGGCTGGGAGAAAAAATCTGTTACTCAGGTAATGGGAAATCTTAAAACATATGAAATGGAGATTTTAACTGATCATACGAAAAAACAAAAAAATATTGCTTTTGCCGCTGAAGAAAATAATGTTGTATCCGATACAGATGAAACTAGTGATGATACAGTTGCATTCTTAACTAAACAGTTTTCAAAAATTTTGAAACAGGTATCCAAAAACACTCACAACAGAAATTCACTAAAGGGAGCAATGTCGTTCAAAACTGCACCTAGGACAGGAGCGTCAAACGCCAAGCAGTCTATCTCACGTCCAGGACAGTCCAAAGAAAGGTCCAACAACAAAGGCATCAAGTGCTATGAATGCGAGGGATTTGGGCATGTACAAGCTGAATGCGCCACCTATCTTTGACGCAAAAAGTCTATGTCAGCCATTACGTGGAGCGATGACGAGCCCGACGTTGAACCAACTGGGTCAGATGCCGAAGAAATTTCGGGTAACTTTGTTGCATTTACAGCACGATTTACTGACAGTTTAGAACCTGTTGAAGACTCAGAAGGTGGTGACTACGTCTCTGCAGAAGATGTGGAACAAAATGCTTTATCTTTTGAAACTGAATTTAATAAGTTGTATCCCAAATGGGAAGCATTAAGAAAAATGAACTGCAAACTAGCTAGTGAAATTGAGATTGTAACGAATGCAAATAAAGTATATCAAAATCAAGTAGCTGATATGAATGTTTTGCTTAAAGAAGCAGCAGGTCGAGAGGAAAGACTACAACACGAAGTACAAACCAGAAAGGTACTTCTTAAGGAAGCAGCTGACCGAGAAGCAAAACTCCAACAAGAAGTTCAGAGTTTGAAACAGGAACTGAGCACCTACAAACGACAAATCCAAATGATGGATACCACTTCAACACTCGATAAGATTCTTGATTCCGGCAGGAAAACGTCTGCAAAATTTGGTTTGGGCTTCACTGGCAGTAACTCCAAAGATAAGACTGTATTTGTCCAAGCCTCTGGACCTGATCCAGACGACATCCCTGAATGCAGCACTGTGAAACGCTCCTATGGTAAAGTAAACGTAAATAAGATAAGTTATAAGCTATATAATCCTGTTTGCCACTATTGCAGGTTACGCGGACATACCCGACCTGAATGCTACTATTTCTACAAAGATCAAAGGATTGAGAAGTTCAGGCACAAGAACATTCAACCTTTCACAAAACAGATTTGGGTCAAAAGGCTGATTATATATCGTTTGTTTCATTTCATACTAAAAGTGCTGGACGAGAAGAGAAATGGTATTTTGACAGCGGGTGTTCCCGCCACATGACAGGGAATGTAAAATTCCTGAAAAACGTCAATACCAGTAACGGTGAAGTTACTTTCGGTGACGGTGTCAAAGGTCAAGTGACTGTCGTAGGCACTTTAAATGTAGCTGGTTTGCCAAAACTGGACAAAGTGTTACTTGTCCGTGGACTTCACGCCAATCTTATTATCATAAGTCAATTGTGCGACCAAAACTGGAACGTGTGCTTCACTAAAAATAGCTGCAGTGTGATGAACAACTCAAATCAGTGTGTCATGGAAGGTAAACGATCAAATGATAATTGCTATATTCTATCAAATAATGTGCTATGTTGCAGGTCCAGCATGAATGAAGCTGAGCTATGGCATCAAAAAATGGGCCATCTTAGTTATAGACTTCTCGATAAACTTGTAAAATAGAAGGTGTTCGTGGGCAACCGAAAATGAAAGTCGAGTCATCTATCTGCGGTGCCTGTCAAGCTGGGAAACAAATCAGATCAGCTCATCCAGCTCAACACACCATAAACACAAGCCGGTGCCTGGAATTGATTCACATGGACCTCGTTGGTCCAACTCAGACAGAAAGTCTTGGAGGTAAGAAGTATATACTAGTATGCGTTGATGATTTTTCTCGTTTTGCTTAGGTTATGTTTCTCAGGGAAAAATCCGAAGCGCTTGAGGCATTCAAGACACTGGGATTAAAACTTCAAAAAGAAAGAAACTAATCCATCAGTAGAACTCGAAGCAATCACGACAGAGAATTCGAGAACAAGCTGTTCGATAACTTTTGTAATCAATCAGGGATTACACATGAGTATTCAGCTCCAAAAACTCCAAAACAAAACGGAGTTGTGGAAAGGAAAAATCGCACCATCCAGGAGATGGGTAGAGTGTTGCTCAACGCCAAAGGATTACCACAAAAGTTCTGGGCGGAGGTTGTAAACACCGTGTCACATCATCAACAGAGTTTACCTACGACCGGGCACAACACAAACTCCGTATGAACTCTGGAAAGGTAAGAAACAGAACATTACTTATTTTCACATTTTCGGCTCACGTTGTTTTATCTTGAAAGATAGGAATCCGACTTCTAAATTTGAACCGAAAAGCGACGAAGGAATTTTCCTCGGATATTCCACCAACAGCAGAGCCTATCGAGTATATAATAAAGTGACCAAAATCATAATGGAGTCCACAAACGTCGTCATTGATGATCAACCCAGTGAGATTACTGAAGTTGTCCAAACTGATCCAGTGACAGAACCTGAAACTGACCGACCTAAAATTCCTGACGCTGGTACTCCAGAACCAGACCTTGAGTCACCTATCTCATCGCCCATATGCAATCAACCCGAATCTGAACCTGAGACAGAATCAGAAAATGATCATGATGATATTGATATTCCAACTCGTATTCAGAAAAATCATCCGATCCAAAATATAATTTTAGATCCCAGTTCAGGTGTGAAAACTCGAGGTAAACCAAAGCGCGACTATCTTGAACTAGCTGGATACTCTTGCTATACGTCGCAGATTGAACCAAAGAATATCAAAGAAGCCTTAACTGATGAACACTGGATCAAGGCCATGCAAGAAGAATTGGGACAATTCGAAAGGAACAAGGTATGGACTCTAATCCCTAAACCGAATAATGTAAATGTTGTAGGTACAAAGTGGATTTTTCGAAACAAGACTGACGCAACCGGCAATATCGCTCGAAATAAAGCAAGACTAGTCGCTCAAGGGTATTCCCAAATTGAGGGAATCGACTACGATGAAACGTTTGCTCCAGTGGCTCGCCTAGAATCCATCTGATTGCTACTCTCCATTGCCTGTGCTTTAAAGATCAAGCTCTTTCATATGGATGTTAAAACAGTCTTTCTAAACGGCTATCTCACAGGGGATATATATGTTGCACAACCGAAAGGGTTTGAAGACCCGCAACATCCAGAATATGTATACAAGCTTGAAAAAGCTCTATACGGGCTAAAACAAGCTCCAAGAGCCTGGTACGAAAGACTTGCACAATATTTACTTCAAAATGATTACAAACGAGGAGGTTCGGACAAAACCTTGTTCATAAAACGATCAGGTAAACACATAAGCATTGCACAAGTTTACGTTGATGATATTGTGTTTGGGTCCACACAGACAGGTGAAACGGACAAACTGGTCAAAGTTATGCAACAAGAGTTCGAAATGAGTATGATCGGAGAGCTGACGTATTTTCTAGGATTACAGGTCAATCAGTCAAAAGAAGGGATATTTATTTCTGAAGCGAAGTATGCGAAAAATCTCATATCAAAATTTGGTCTTGAATCTGCGAAAGATGCCCGGACACCCGTCTCAACAACTACAAAATTATCTAAAGACAATCAAGGAACTTCCGTTGACTACACATTGTACAGGAGTATGATTGGTAGTTTACTGTACCTAACTGCTAGTAGACCTGACATCATGGTAAGTGTTGGTATGTGTGCACGCTATCAAGCAGATCCAAAGGAATCGCACTTGAAGGCAGTCAAACGTATTATAAAATACGTTAAAGGTAAAATAAATTATGGTATTTGGTATTCCACTGATACTAATCTCAGTCTTACAGGTTTTAGTGATGCTGACTGGGCTGGTAACGCCGAACATAGAAAAAGCACATCCGGAGGATGCTTCTTTATCGGGAAAAATCTGGTTGCCTGGCTGAGTAAAAAGCAAAATTCAATCTCGCTCTGCACTGCAGAAGCTGAGTACATAGCTGCAGGCAGTTGTTGTACACAGTTGCTTTGGATGCGTCAAATGCTGTCCGATTACGGGTTTGATTAGAAAAATATGCGTCCTCTTCTGCGACAACACGAGTGCGATCAATATATCTAAAAATCTGGTACAACACTCCCGGACGAAGCACATAGACATCCGTCATCATTTCATCCGAAACTAGTTGAAGAAAAAGTAATTAAGTTAGAATACATTCCAACTGACAAAAATCTTGCAGATTTATTCACGAAACCATTAGACAAATCCAGGTTTGAACTACTTCGTGCAGCCCTCGGAGTTTGTACGATTAATGTCTAAATTCTCCAGCAGGTATTTTTTTAATTTATTTTTTATTTTTGGACTAACTGATTAATTGGTTTACGTGCGTGTTTTCTGTTACCAGAGACAAAGGGATACAAATTTGTTTGGGTTTCATTAATCTTTCCGATCTTATTTATGTATATATGAATTACTAATTTTCCCTTGGAATGTTTTATTTTTTTCGGATATCTTATGCTTGCATCTAGAAGACCAATTCTAGTCAAACACCATCAAACTCTCCTTTTTCCACTCATCTACTAACCTATAAATATCATTATATCTATCCTAGCCATCAATATCTCACGCCTTTTCAAGCTACACATCAAATCAACCCATTACTTTTTGTCTCTCTTGGTCTTCCTCTCAACCCGAGATCACCACCATCATCTTCATCTCTTCACCTTCCACCATTTTTTCTCTCTACAAGCTTCACCCATGGAAAATCCATTTCTCATCTACATGACTCGATTAGAAAGAGCAAACCTTTTTCGAAAAATCATTGATGTCGAGTCTCCCTTATCTCCTGAAGCTACCGATAAGGTTCTTGCCACAATAAAATCAGATGGGTTTCTACTGGAAAGGCTCACGGACAAAGAAAAGAGGCAAATGCTTGCTCTAGCTCGCCATATCTCCGCCACACCTTAGCCGTTTCCACCTGTGTCAGCCGCTGTCCCAGATTCCACTCTTCCCGGTCCAGCGTCTCTTGCCTCATCTCAGACAGTGGTACTCCCTGCCCTTTCTTCGCCTTTAAACACATCTAGAAAAATTGATTTTGATGTATCTCTGCCTGATCAATTTGTGTCTCCCATATCTCATGATGTTTTTGATGTTCAAACTCTGTCTGTACCTGGTGATCCTTATGATCCTTTGTCTCACAATTTACCTAGGGAAAATGTTGATTTAGTTGCTTTATCTGACCTAGTAAATTCTTTGCCATTTGCGTTTTCCATTCGAAATGTTGCCCAACATGTGTCTGTTCCAACCGTGGCTTGTTCGGCCTTTTCTATTCCCATTACTATTGCTGCGTCTAAAAGTCACTCTGATCCTGTACCCATTCCTGTTTCATCTACGCAAGAATCGGTTCCCATTATCTCTGTTCCTATTGCTAAATCTTCCCGAAAGGGAAAGGAGAAAATCTCTGTTTCAGGTACTGCAGAAAAGAGAGGATTGTCACAGTTGGATGATGTTGAAACTCAAACTGATCATAAACTTCAACGGAAGGGTTCCACATTGCCACCCAGAACCACTTGGTCAAGAGCCCAAGTTGACACACATGCTGTTCCTACGCCATCTGGCTCCAAATCGAAAGGATCAAGCAAGGTCTACAAACCGCATCTTCTGTCTCCCGATTTATTTGTTGTTTGGAAAACTCATGTCAACCGGGTTTTCATCGTCGAAAAATCCATCAATGAAGAGGATTTGGCTGCCAAGTGCAATATTATCCCGCTGTTACGTGATCAAAATTTGCTTGCCTCTCTACGCCATATTGGTCCCTACTCTACATGGTTGACAGCAGAATTTTACACAAATTTGACCTTGGACACATTCAATGAAGGCTAGCACTGATTTCATCAAGTTTTCATTCGTGGCACTTGGTATCCTTTCGGGCCTACTGAGATTAATGCATATTTGGGCACACCAAATCATCCTGCTTCTCCGGATCCTAGTCCTCACTTGTTGGCAACTGCACTCACTCATAATAAAGTGGTTTCATGGCCGAGTGATGGAATTTCAAGCTTGAAGCTCACAACTGTCTACTCCGTGCTTCTTCGCCTTGCATCGGCGAATTGGGTCCTGGCAGTCCGTCGCCATCAAGTACCAGAACATCTAGCTGGCCTTCTATACAAAATCAGGAACCGTCTTCCGTTCAACCTCGGCATGGTTATTTTCTCTCACTTAATGTCTTTTTTGCAGAAGAAAGAAGCCAAAGTCCATCTCCCTTTTCCGTGTTTGATTTATGGGGTGCTTCAAGACCATGGTTTTATGCCCTATAAGGAAGAAGTGATTACAACTCCTGACAATGCTTACATTTTTGATGATCGACTTACACAACGAGGTCATTATGATGATCGAGCTTCACTTGATCAGCTTCCTGCTATTCCACCTCCAGGCGCCAGCCTCATCTACTGACACTACGTCAGCTTCTCGTCCAGGCTCAAGACTGGTTCCCAAAGAACCCCCAACATTGGTTGATCGTAGGCAGATTGTGCTCACTCTTGAGGCCTCTATTGCACAAGTTCAACAATCGGTCACCCCTCAACAAGCAACCATCTCTGGCCTTGTAAAGCTTCGTGATGCACAGCTCGAAGAAACCTCGCTCGCATAGAAGCTATTCACGCTCGGGTTTTAGCTGACACTGGAGCTGCTTCCTCGGATTCTGACTCGAAGATGAAGAAGATGATTCAGACTCGGGCACCCCGTCTGCACGATAAATCTATCCACTATTTGATGTTCACCTTCCTTTGTCATTTATTTGGCAAAAGGGGGAGTAAGGATTAAGGAGTAAAGGGGAGTATGGGGGACTATTCTACTTTTTTGGATGACTATGGTACGGTTTTATTGGCTATTTTGGAAGGGCTATTTTTGGAAGTGCTATTGCTAGTCAGTATGGTAATAATGGACTTATATTAGTTAGGGGGAGTAATAGTAGTGTTTGATGCTCCTAACTATCTGTATGGATATTTTTGGTATGGTATCTCGCATCACAAGTTAATCGGTGTTATGGTATGCTATGATTTCAACGCTTCTGTGTGTGATTCAAGAATTGAAGATTTTTTCAATTAGATTCTCTATTCACAAGTGGTCCAAAAGAATTTAATTTTTTAATTATTTTCTAAATGTCTATGATATGTAAAGTACATATATTAAGGGCTATAAATAAAATTTAAATTGATTTTTGCCCAAAGTAATTGATACTCAAGTTTTCCAAATAAAATGCCAAAGGGGAGATTGTAAGTGTAAAATAAATTTACACGATTGGCTATTTTATTGGCTTTACTAGATTTAAATTAAAATAGTGTTGTTAGTGTTAATTCTTTTATGGACCATGTGAGTAGATAATTAGTGGCCATCATGGATTGTTTATTTGAGTCTACGGTGAAGCAATCAAAGAACAAAATGAGTGGCTGTGGCTTATTCGAACAGTGGAAGATTAAGGAAGAGGCTACATTTGAGGATCAAACAAAAGACTCATGAAGCACTATAAAAGCATACTGTGATGGTGTCTTTGATCAGCCAGCTTTGCTCTTTGTTCGGATCAGTAAGTAAGCAGTTTTGGTTCAGCTAACAGCTTTTAGGGTCAAGGGCTTTTTGGTATTTTCCTGTTAAGATGGCAGTTATAACTGCCATCTCTTCCTCTCTCCTTTTATAAGGCTGTAATCTTCTTTTTCTTCTGAAGTTTTCCTCTCCAATAATACAACATGCTGAGCTTCTTACCATAGATGAACTTGTCACTTTCACCATGAGTTAATCTATCTTAACACGGTATCAGGGCGCCGGAGCTACGCCGATGTGGTGATGACAGAAAATCAGAATGGAAATTCAGTCGGAGCTTTTTCGAGCCAAAGTCCAGCTCAGATGAACATGAATTCGAGTCCAAATCATGCTCAAAGAGCTGCTGATGAATTCGATGATCCATGGTACCTGCATATTACAGAAAATCCTAACCTGATCCTGGTGTCTCCACCACTGTCCGAGGTGAATTATGCGTCCTGGAGCAGATCAATGAAGATAGCTCTTGAAGTCAAAAATAAATTTGGATTTGCAGATGGATCCATATTGAAACCTGAGATAAATGATCCGAAGTATACTATTTGGAAGAGATGCAACAACATAGTGTGCTATTGGATCTTCAAATCGCTGAGTCCTACGATTGCAGAAGGAGTTTTATACCTTGAAGTTGCATCGGATGTCTGGAATACTCTGAAGAAGAGGTATTCTCAGGTTGATTCACAGAGGATTGCTGAATTGCAGAATGAGATCTTCAAATGTTCTCAAGGTAATCTCACAATTAATGAGTAGTTTACTAAAAGTAATGCATTATGGGTTCAAATGAATGCAATGAGACCTATTCTTGCCTGTGAGTGTGTGCCTAAGTACTTACCTATTGGATCAAAGGGAATCGATATGAAGAGAGAATATGAGAATATCAAATCCGGAATTCTAGTCATGGAACCTATTCCAGCCATGGAAAAAGTTCTCAATATTACTTTAAAGATGGAAAGGAAGCTCAGGAATTCTCTTAGTCAGAAGAACAACTGATCTAGTTCAAGCTAATGTTGTTCAAGGTGGTGGAGATCAGAGTGCAGATGATCAACCTGTGGTTTCAGCTTAAGCAACAACAACAAGAAGAAATACAACAGTGGAACAGGGAAAAATGTGCCTAAATGCATTTTTTTGTGGAATGATTGGACATACTTTGAGAAATGCTATAAGAAGCATGGATATCCCCCAGGTTGGTAGCAGGTTATAAGTCTAAGAATAAACAACAGCCTCAAGATGCTCAGCAGGTCCACAATGCTTCTGTGAACCAAATTGGTGATATAGGCCTCACTAATGATCAGTTTCAAAGGCTATTGTCATTGTTGCAGAATCAGAATCAAGGAAGTCAAGCATCAACTAATGCACTGTGACTGTCAACACTACTGGACTGAGACCAGAATTCAGAAATCCCATGGAGAAACATCATGAAGGCAAGTTTATCTCTAACCTTCATGTTAGTAGTGCTTTAATTTCCTCCACCATTTGGATTCTAGACTCAGGAGCCACTGACCATATACATGCTCCTTAGAATACTTTGAAGCATACAATTCTGTTCAGGGAATGTCTGTTAAGTTACCAAATGGAGAAATGTTGAGTGTATCACATATAGGACAAGTCAAGTTGCATAAAAAGATATTGTTGCCAGGATGTCTTACATATTCCCTCCTTCACTTTCAACATTATATCTGCAAGCAAGTTAGTGAGACAATCAGGCTATGAAATCATTATGAAACCTAACTTCTTGCACCATTCAGGGACATCTTGGGAGAATGGATGGTTTTGCTAAGGAAAGAGATGGATTATACATACTTTCTGATCCACCTATGAAGAGGCAGATGTGTGTGTGAATGAAGAATCTGATATACTTTGTAATGGTTTTTCCCTGCAATTGTGGCATGATAGATTAGGGCACTTTCCCATAAATAAAGTGCAACTATTAAAGTGAATAAAACTTGCATCTTCTTCTAAACCTGTTGATTTTATCTGTGAGACATGTTATTTTGCAAGACATAAGAGATCTATTTTCCCTGTCAGTGTTACTAGAGCTGAAAGATGTTTTGATTTATTACACATGGATGTTTGGGGCCCCTTTGCTGTGCCATCTCTCAAAGGGGAGCATTATTTTTTGACTATGGTAGATTATCATAGTAGATTTACTTGGTTGCATCTAATAACACACAAATCGGAAGTAAAGACCATATTTCAGAACTTTTACAATATGGTTTGGCACTCAGTTTTCAGCAAAAATTAAGGCTGTCAGAACAGATAATGGAAGTGAGTTCATAATGACCACATTTTTCAATGAAAAAGAATAATACATCAGAGATCATGTGTGTACACACCCCAGCAGAATGGGGTGGCTGAATGAAAATATTAACATATTCTGAATATAGCCAGAGCCTTGAAATTTCAGTCTGGATTGCCTGATGATTTTTGGGGCCACTGTGTCCTAACATCCTCTTATTTGATTATAGGCTTCCTACTGATGTTCTAAATGGTAGCACTCCATTTCAGATATTGTTTGGGAAGGATGTGGATTATGAGCATTTCAGATCCGTTGGTTGTTTAGCATTTGCTGCAACTATTTCACCAGGGAGGAACAAGATGGGATCCAAGGCCTCAAAGTGCATATTCTGAGGTTTTCCTGCTAATGTCAAAGGCTACATGTTATATGATGTTATTAACAAAGTTACTTTTGTTTTCTAGGGATGTCAAATTCTATGAACATGTTTACCCTTTCAGAGACAAAAATCTAGATGTCAATAAGCCTGCATCAGAGTTGTTTAATCCCACCTTGCCTCTTGTTCCCATTTCTGTTGAAGCAGATGCTAGTTCTTTAGAGCCAACAAGAGGACATGTTATCCCTGCAGCCACATCTCAAAGTTGTGACAACAACTCTGATGAGATAACCAGTAGAGCTCTGTTGAATGATGATGATATTCACTCTGGTTAGACAGCCATTTGATGAATGGTCATCACCAAACCTTTTGTTGAATTACCCTCTCTTAATACATCAGATGAGGTTGATAGGCAAGCTCAATCTGATAACATTCCACAGCCAAGAAGATCATCTAGAACAAGAAATGTTCCATCAAAGTTGCAGGATTACCTGTGTCAATCTACCATGATGAGAAGTAGTTTTTAGAACCTCACACACTCTATGGACAAGTTTATCTCCTATGATAACTTGTCACCCAGCCATAGATTGTGTGCATCATCCATTACCACTTCACATGAACCTCAAACTTACAAAGAGGCAGTCAGAAGTGAAGAATGGAGGAAAGCAATGCAAGATGAAAAAAAGTCCTTGGTTCAGAATGATATGGCTATTGACAGATCTGCCAGCAGGAAAGACTCCCATTGGCTGTAGATGGTGTACAAAATTAAACACAAATCAGATGGTTCTATTGAAAGATATAAGGCCAGGCTAGTGGCAAAGGGATATACTCAACAATTAGGTGTTGACTATATTGAAACTTTTTCTCCTGTGGCAAGAATGACAACAATCAAAACTTTTTTTGGCTGTGGCTGTGGCAAAAGGATGGGACATCCAACAACTTGATATTAACAATGCTTTTCTTCATGGGGATTTGCAGGAGGAAGTGTATATGGTTGTGCCACCAAGTTTTCAAACTGATAAGCCCAATCAAGTTTGCAAACTGCTGAGATCTTTATATGGATTAAAACAGGCTAGTAGACAATGGAATGCCAAATTAACTAAAGCATTGCAAGACAATGGTTTCAGACAATCATCTGCTGATCCTTCTCTGTTTACCAAGAAAACTTGTGATTCTTTCATTGCTTTGTTGGTATATGTTGATGATATCCTGGTTGCAGGAACATGTTCTGTTCAGATTAAAGAATTGAAACAATTTCTGGACAACTCTTTCAAGATCAAAGATCTTGGTCCATTAAACTACTTTCTTGGCATTGAAGCTTTCAGATCCTCTAAGGGTATCAACATCTGCCAGAGGAAGTACACTCTTGAGATCCTTGAAGAAAATGGCTTCCTGGAAGCCAAGCCTGCTAATACTCCTTTCAATGCAGGTCTAAGACTTCATAGTT